AGCTGCTGAGAGTCCAACATAGACCCATGAATTCAGGCCAGACACCTGCAGGTTGAGTGTGAGCAGAACCCACCAAGTATATCATACACTGTATGAAAGAAGAAGGCCTGTTTATTAATATACAACTCCATTACAGGCCTATACAGACAGGCAGCCGAGAAGAAGCAGTAGCTTTATTTATAAACTGTACCAAATGTGAGTCTGTCAGAGCCTGATTGAATATAACTCTGTTTCATTTGGTCAAGTCAAGCCTTATTTTAGTTCTAACCAAATGAATGCTACAGCAGCTTTATTTTTATTTATACTTTGAGGCTGGATGATTGATTTGAGGGCAACACAGTATTTGCTCAGGACATACATATGTACATCTTATAAACTGCAGCCCAGTCATCCTCTGTTCTGTTACTGATGTAGCCTATTCCTACATACAGTATGAAGGCCTTCTGGTAACCTGGGCTTTCAAAAGTGCTCATTAACGACAATTACCTTATCCCACATTACATACTGATGTGCTGCATGTTTTCTTTTTGTCTGACTCACTGACAACTCTCCAGCTGGCCATGAAGTGGCTCGACTTTGACGCGTCCCGTCAGGATCAGGCTGCAGAGCTCCTGTCCCATGTTCGCTTTGAGACCATCCCGGCCAGCGAGCTGGTGAGTCAGATCCAGCCAGTGCCCCGCATGATGCAGGACCCTCAGTGTCACCGCCTGCTGGTGGACGCCATGAACTACCACCTGCTGCCCCACCAACAGAACACCCTGCAGTCCCGGCGCACGCAGGTCCGAACCGGCCAGCAGACTCTGCTCACAATCGGAGGCCGTCCATCGCTGACTGAGAGAGCTCTGAGTCGTGAGGTCGGTGCCAAAAAAACCTGAAAATATGTGAAAATATACAGTAAGTGTATTGATCTAGGGAATACCACATTATTATGAAAGTGGTTAGAGGGGTTTCCAGAATAGTTGTCTAGTTTTCAAAAAAATCTAAAATACTGCATAAATTGTATTATTGTTAAGACACTAACTGACAACAAGGAATTAGGACAGTGATGGGGACATGTTGCCCTTGCCCCAGAGAATGTTATGGCCTTCAGTGCTTGTGTTTTCCTTTTAGCTCCATGTGTTCATTCAAGAAAATTTCTCACTGATCTTTAACCTTGGTGCCCAGGTACTGTGGAGGGACCCTCGTGAGGGAGGAGCCACCTGGCGTCACCTCACCCAGCTGCCGGCAAAGAGCTTCAACCAGTGTGTGGCTGTGATGGACGGCTTCCTGTACGTGGCTGGAGGAGAGGACCAGAACGACGCCCGCAACCAGGCCAAACACGCCGTCAACACCCTGAGCAGGTCGGACTGAAGGACCAACACACAGGAGACATCTGACTGTCATAATACATCCCTCCTACCACTTAATAAATTGCACATATACAACTCCAAATGCACCCATGCCCATGCATCTTTAGGTCTTTACTGTGTTAATCCATATGCTCCATGAAAACCAAACAAAAGCTTCACTTTATCTAATTTTAAAGTTGCCACACAGCAATTAGGGTTTTAGAGGACCCCGTGGACTCTGTGGGGCCCCAGGGACAGTTGCTACTCAGCTGGCAATCCCACCCTGCACAAATTCCTCTGATCATGGCTCTCTTTCCTTTACCCTCACCAGATATGACCCTCGCTTCAACACATGGCTCCACCTGGCCAGCATGCGCCAGCGTCGCACCCACTTCTCT